AATGATAATAATGATAATAATAATGGTAATAATGATAATAATGATAATAATAGTGATAATAATGATAATAATGGTAATAACTATATTAATAATAATAATAATGATAATAATGATAATAATAATAATAATAATGTTAATAATGATAATAACGATATTATTGATAATAGTGATAATAATGATAAAAATGATAATAATGATAATAATGATAATAATGATAATAATGATAAAAATGATAATAATGATAATAATGATTATAATGATAATAATGATAATAATGATAATAATGATAATATAGGTAATAATAAAGATAAAAATATTAATAATGATAATAATGATAATAATGATAATGATAATATTGTCAATAATGATAATAATGATGATAATGATGATAATGATAATAATGATAATAATGATGATAATGTTAACAATGATAATAATAATAATAATGATAATAATAGTAATAATGATAATAATGATAATAATGATAATAATGATGATAATGTTAACAATGATAATAATAATAATAACAATAATAAAAATGATAATAATAATAATGATAAAAATGATAATAATAATAATAATAATGATAATAATAATAATAACAAAAGTAATAATAATAATAATGACAATAATGATAATAATAATAATAATAATAATAGGGATAGTAATAATAATAATAATAAAAATGATTATAAAGACAATAATAATGATAATAATGATAAGAATGATATTAATGATAATAATGATAATAATGATAATGATAATAATAATGATAATAATGATAATAATTGTAATAATGATAATATTGATAATAGTGATAATAATGATAATAATGATAATAATGATAATAATGATAATAATGAGAATAATAATGATAATAATGATAATAATGATAATAATAATTGTAATAATGACAATAATAATGATAAAAATGATAATATTGAAAATAATAATAATAATAATGATAATAATAATAATGATTATAATGATAATAATGATAATAATGATAATAATGATAATAATGATAATAATAACGATTATAATGATAATAATGATAATAATAATGGTAATAATGAAAATAATGATAATAATTGTGATAATAATGATAATAATGGTAATAACTATATTAATAATAATAATAATAATAATGATGATAATAATAATAATAATAATGTTAATAATGATAGTAATGATATTTTTGATAATAGTGATAATAATGATAAAAATGATAATAATGATAATAATGATAATAATAATGAAAATAATAATAATATTAATAATAATAATAATAATATTAATAATCATAATAATAATAATATTGATAATAATGATAATAATAATAATAATAATAGTGATAGTAATAATAATAATAATAAAAATGATAATAAAGACAATAATAATGATAATAATGATAATAATGATAATAATGATATTAATGATAATAATGATAATAATGATAATGATAATAATAATAATAATAGTGATAGTAATAATAATAATAATAAAAATGATAATAAAGACAATAATAATGATAATAATGATAATAATATTGGTAATAATGATAATAATGATAATAATAATGGTAATAATGATAATAATGATAATAATGATAATAATTATAATAATGATAACAATGATAATAATAATGATAATAATGATAATAATGATAATAATGATAATAATGATAATAATGATAATAATGATATTAATAATGATAATAATGATAATAATAACAATTATAATGATAATAATGATAATAATATTGGTAATAATGATAATAATGATATTAATAATGTTAATAGTAATGGTAATAATAATTCTAATAATGACAATAATGATAATAATAATGATAATAATGATAATATTGATAATAATGATAACAATGCTAATAATGTTAATAATAATGATAATAATGCTGATAATGATAATAATGATAATAATAATGATAATAATCAAAATAATAATAATAATAATAATAATAATAATAATAATTATAATAATAATGAAAATAATAATAATAATAATCATAATAATAATAATAATATTAATAATAATAATAATAATAATACTGATAATAATAATAATGATAATAATGATAATAATATTGTTAATAGTACTGGTAATAATAATTCTAATATTGACAATAATAATAATAATAATCATAATAATAATAATAATATTAATAATAATAATAATAATAATACTGATAATAATAATAATGATAATAATGATAATGATATTGTTAATAGTACTGGTAATAATAATTCTAATATTGACAATAATGATAATAATAATGATAATAATGATAATAACGATAATAATAATAACAATGCTAATAATGTTAATAATTATGATAATAATGATGATATTGATAATAATGATAATAATGATAATAATAATAATATAGATAATAATAATGATAAAAATATTAATAATGAAAATAATGAAAATAATGATAATGATAATAAAGATAATAATGATAATAATGATGATAATGATG